TTAGTCACTGAATATGTGGGTTAGATATATATCTTCCTATGCAATATTTGAACTACTTTTGGATACTGAAAATAATAATGAAAAGATCATTCATTGATTCATTTGCTGATTTAATGGGTATATACTAAACACCTACTAGGAAGAACTATAGTAAATACTGAGTGTGTGTGTAGGAAATAGAAGAGTTGTCATGACAGATCCTACTTGAGGTTCATACATATATAAAGCTATGTGAGTTCAGAGATAATATTAACAATCTTGAGACATGGGAGGCAAAGAAGTGGGGTCAAGCAAAGATGACCCTGAGGTGCTTCAAACGAGTAATTTGGAAGCTAGCATATCATTTAAAAAGGATAAAACAAGAGGCAGCAAAAGAAGACAATATGTTCAGTTTTAGACATATTTAGTTTGATATGAATATGTAAATAGAAATGTCTAGTAGGCAAGTGAGGACTGGAATTCATGAATAAGGTCAGTCCTGAGACATAAGATTTGGGATACAAAGGTATATATGAGGCACTGTATTAGAGAACAAACTAATACAAAGATTGAACTAAGGCAGTGGCAAGGAAGGGAAGAGAAATATCCGTTAGATACTAAGAAGGCTGAATGTTTCAGGACTTGGTAACTAAGTAGATATGGGGAAATGAATGAGAAAGAGGAGTCTAGAACAACTTCTAAGTTTCTAGGTAAATGGTGATGCCATTCCTGTAGGTGTGGAATCCAGAGAAATAAATCTGAGGGGCAAGATGAGGTATATCTAGAAACACTGCATGTGAGGCTCCCACGAGACATTTAAGTGAAGTTGCTCAGTAAGGCAGCTGGGCATATGTCTAGAGCAAATCACAGAAGATCAACACAGAAATATATATTTGATAGTTAGCAATGATAAAAATGAATATGGAATGATGCTGCCAAAGAGGAATGTACAAAGTGAGAAGAGCAGAAGAAACAAGCTAGAACCCAAAGAGAACAACTGCATGTGAGGGGCAAGGCAAGAAAAGGAGCCCATGTAGGTAGAAAGCAGAGAAGTGCCAAAATATAAGAAAACTAGGAGAGACTGATGCTACAGAAATGGAGGGAGGAAAGTACTTTAATACAGAAGGCATTTTCAAAAATCTAAACTGTCTTAATGTTCAAATAAAAGAAAGAAAAATATCACTGGACTTGGCAAGCTTCAGTGGAGTGGTGAGTACAGAAATCAGATTACAATGGACTAAAGAGTGAAAAAGAGGTAAAGAAATTGTAAAAGCAATTATTTTCTCTTTCAGGAGTTTTGACTCTACTAAAAAAAAAAAGAGAAATAGGAGAACAAATATGGAAAAGTGATCGAGAGGTATTTTTTATTATTATTACTATTTTTTTTTATAATTACTTAAGATGGGGGAAATAGGAATAACATTATATCTTAAAGTTAATGAAAAGGGAGAG